ATTTCCCTAATGACAATGATGCTGAGCACCCTTTCATGTATGTATTTGACAGCTGTATATTTTCTGCTCAAATCTTTTGCCCATTTTTTATTGGGCTATTCTATTTTCTTATTGTTGAGTTTTGCAAGAATTTTCTAAATTCAGATACATATTTTTGCAAAGACTTTCCCCAGTCTGTGGCTTGTTTTTTCATTATCTTAACTGAGTCCTTTAAAGAATGGATTTTTTAGTTTTGATGAAATCCAATTTATCAATTTGTTCTTTTGTGAATTGTGCTTTTGTTGTCAAATCTAAGAAATATTTGCATAACCCCATGTCAAAATTTTTTTCCTGTGGTTTATTCCAGAAGTTTTATACTTTTAGGTTTTACATGTAGGTCTATGATCCATTTTGAGTTAATTTTTGAATATATTGCAAGGTATGGATCCAAGCACATTCTTTTGCATATGGATATCCAATTGTTCCAGCAACATTTGTAGAAAAGGTTATCCTTTCTCCACTACATTGCCTTTGTACCTTAAAAAAAATCAATTGTCCGTGTATGTGTGTGGGTTTATGTCTGGAGCCTACTTGGCTCCATTAATCTGTTTGAGTTTTACACCAATACCACATGGTGTCAATTAATGCAGCTTTATAATAATTCTTGAGCCGGGTAGTGTTAAACCCTCCAACTTTGTTTTTCTTTTTTAAGAGTTGTTTTGGCTGTTCTAGATCCTTTGCATTTCCGTATGAATTTTAGAATCAGCTCATCAGTTTCTACCAAAAATCTTGCTGGGGTTCGAATTGAGATCACATTAGATCTGTAAATAAATTTGGGGGAGAATTAACATTTTAACAATATTTACTCTTCTGCTTTATGAACAAGGTGTATCTCTCCATTTATTTAGATCTTATTTAGTTTCTTTCAGTAATATTTTGTAATTTTCAGTGTACAGGTCTCTCACATCTTTTGTCCAATGTATCCCTAAATATTTCATATTTTTTATGAAATTATAAATGGTATTGGTTTTTTAATTTCAATTTCTGATTGTTGCTAGAATACAGGAATATAATTGTTTTTTTATATGGATCTTATATCTTGCAACCTTGTTAAACTCACTTATTAGATCTAGTAGCTTTTAAATAAATTCTGTCGGATTTCCTACACAGATGATCACATCGTCTCTGATATTTTTGTTTTTAACAATGAACTTGCCTTTAACCACAAATGTGTCATTTTAACGTGCCCTTCATTTAATACTTCTTCGTAAAATATAGTATAGAAAAGTGAAAACAGAAGCCATTACACAAAACATTTTACTGAGTATTCACTACCATGCTCACTATCGATAAATCATTAGGACAGTGGCTCTCGACCAGGGATGATTTTGCTCTCCAAAGGGCATTTGACAACATCTGGAAAATTTTATTTGTCACAACTGGGATGAGAGGACTCCTGGCATCTAGTGTAGAGGCTAGGGATGATGCTGAACATCTTACAATGCATGAGGCAGCCTCCTACAACAATGCACAATGATCCAACCCCAAATGTCAACCGTGCTGGGGTTGAGAAATTCCACATTAGAAGTAGGTGCATACACAGATGTGAGCCCCACAATAAATGTACTTATGCAGACAACACAGTGTGGACAGATGTGCAGGGTTCACTTAAATTTCATACAAATAACTCTATCTTTTCCTTTGTGTAGTGAGATGTCCCATGGTTCTTCTGGTGTGCAGTTTCCTCATTGCAAAGGGTCAATAAACTTGACATTGTTGGACTACAGGTTTGTTTCTGGTGCTACTGGGCTGATCTAGCTAGAACAAATTCATGCAATGGAATCAGATTCTCCGTTTTGATGTGTGTTTCTGGGTAACTAGACTGGTCCAGAAACTGGTGGCATGAGAGTGGAGGTGATGAGCTTCTCGGCTAAGCCTCTGAAGGGTGGGCAGGGTAAGCTGAGTGAAGGCCCCAATTCACAAGCAGCCATGGCTGAATCACTCTCTACTTGCAATGACCTTGTCCCTCCTTTCGCTGCAGCAGCAGCTTCCTCTGCACCTGGTAGCTCAATGTTCAGGTGCTGGCCCAGCCCTGTGGTCTGAACCTCCCAGTGGAACTTATGTGTTAATGGGGCTGTGTAACCTGGACTCCTACAACAGCAACCCAAGCACAGTCCCCTTGAAGTGTAGTGCCAATGTTCTTCCAGGTGGATGCTGAGATCCACGCTGCTTCTGGCTAGCAAAATCCAAATGCCAATGCTCATCAAACCCTGAATAGTTCATCAGGTGTTCTTTCTCCTCTGGCCCAGAAGTTCTCAGGGCCCCATTTGCCCCTGGACCCTAATTCCTTTCAATCTGTGGAGCTGCAAAGCAAAGCAGCTTAGGCCATCTGCTGAGAAACCTGGGACACAGGGTCCTACCCTGAGGCCTTTGAATCTGCTGGTGCTGCTGGTATGTCCTGGTACCTGGCTATCTGGAGGCAGAGGGTTGGACAAAATGACCTGCTGGGGTGCAAACAGTACAGAGAGGGGACACTTTCTGCAGCCTGGTCCCAAGGATGTCAGATGTGAGTCCCTCACTCCTGCCCTGAGGATACCCTGGCTGCTCCTGGGAAGAAGGGCAGTTTCTCTGCTTCCTTTATTCCCTCCCAAGGCCCTCTTTAGGCCTGTCTGGTGAGAGGAAGGCATCAGCCCGCAGCTCCCGATCTTTTTCCTTGGGAGTGTTCTGCATAGATTTCACTAGACGTGTGAATTTATCCAGGAGGGGGACAGTGGGGTCTCAGTGGGACGGATGACAGGGCAAGGGCTCCTTCAGAGAGAGAGGCTAGGGTAGCCAGATCCTTGACTTAGATTCCCATTGATTCCCTTCCAGTTTGGCCTGTGAGTTGAGTGGGTGTTCCTAGGGCAGGAGACCCTCCCTCCTTGCCTCACCAAGTCACCCACTCTGTCTCTGCCGTTTATCTTATCTCTTTCTCTTTCTTTTCATCTCCATCTCTCTACTCTCTCTCTCTCTCTCACAGCTACTCAGACTCCTCTCTCCATCTCCCACACCCTCCCTTTTCTTCTGTCTATCTCTCCTCTTCATCTCTTGACTAAAGGTGTTGGCTGCAGTATCTCTAGCTGATGTCCAAGTCCTCACACAAGCACAAACAGGGCCAGTGACATCGCCTTTAAGCACTAAACACCTGTTGCTGTCACATCTTGGGGAACCCCAGCAGGATCCCGACATCCTACTGAGGTTACCAGTACACTGTCCACTCCTAGCCTTGAATGAAACAATTCATTGCAAACCACCCCTGAAGATATGGCGTCAGCCACAGGGAAGGCAGTAAGGGGAAGATGAGGAACTCTCAGCATCATCTTTCCACTTTGGATCATGAATCTTGAACTGGAAAGGGCCCATCTGCTCAGCTCTCCCCTCTCCCCATTCTGCAGCTTTTCATAACGATGGGTTTTTTTTCTTTACTGATACCTACAAGCTTCTTTTGCAAAACAAAAATTTTAAAGTTTATTTTGCATAATTAACTAGATTGTCTTTAGAGAATAACTTTAATTCATGTTTCTTAGTCAGAAAAACAATTTTCTGTAAACTTTTATTTCCTACCATTGTAGCAATGACTCTAGAGATAATTACTATATATTGGCCACAGTGGCATACAGGACCAACTTTATCTTTTTTAAACCTAAATTAAATAAAATAGTGAAACTCCTCAATTTCGGGGTCTTCAGACTGAATGATTCCACAACCAAGAGCTTGGGTGAATCTCACCATCCTTCAACACATCGCACCAAAGAGTCCAAAGGGCAGGGACATTTGCAGTCAGGATTTTGGTGACATTTACTACAGAAGGGAACTGGAGCATAGAATCACAGAGAACCCCTCCCCCAGGCCCAACACTTTCATCCTGAGCCTGAACACGAAGTAATAATGAATCTTATGTATGTCCTCCTGCCTGGGCCTCTGTTACCTTTCCAACCTGAATCAACCTCTGATTTTACTCTGAACTCAGGCATCTGTTGTCTATTCCACCATTAATGGGTTCTGATCTAGGTATAGAATCTAGAGTTTTGAGGGTAGAAAGTTAACAGTCCCTTTGTATCTCTGTACTGCATTTGGAGGTCTGTTCGCTTTTCCACTATCAGGACAATTTACATGTGAATCTTTTCTCGCATCTATTAACTCCTTCCCCGTCATTGCCTCTCAGGTCTGCACATTGGCTGCGGGCCTCAGTTACGCCCTCCCCATCGATGCTCCTTTGGTGTGTGCAGACAATCAAACCTTCCGCAGTTAGTGCTCCTTCTCCTATGTGCATCAACCTTAGCCCCCAGTTAATGCTTCTATCCTGAATGCCCATTTGGTCTGACCTTGAAGTCAGGTCTTGGTTAACTCTTCCACCATCATCGCCCCTTTGGGATAGGTTGTAAATTGTGGGCCTTTGTTAATTATACCACCATTAATGCTCCTCTGGTCTATCTCTCGGATCTGGGTCTAAGTTAACATTTCCATTTTTCAAAGCTTCTGTGGAATGCCTTTGGAAATGGGCCACTATTCCACCATCAGTGCCCTTCTGGCTTGACCTTGAAGCGAGAGTTTTGTTAAGTTTTCTCCATCCATACACCCTGGTAGAGGTCCTTATTCCTAGCACTTTCTTAACTATTGCACCATCAGAGCTCGTTTATTTTGTACATATAGAACCCGAGCCTTTGTTAACTATTCAATCCCATTCTGGGCTCACTCCAATCTAGTTCTTTGTTAAGTCTTCTAAAATCGATGCCCCTTAGGTTTTACCTCGAACCTCTGACTCTATCAATTCTTTTAGCGTTTTTAATGGGCGGCAGAAGGCCACATCTGCCCACTTTAAGCGACGCGGGCAGAAAGTCCAGGCTGTGAATGACAGGAGAGGGCGGGCTCTTCCATGTTTGAAGGAGCCAATGAAAGACCAGGAGCGCGGAGAAGCCAGGGCTGTGAGTGACAGACGGGGCGGGCCCCGCCCCACTTGAAAGAACGGTAGGAGGGCTGGAGGGTGATGGTGCTAGCCTGCGAGTGGCGGGCGCGGGGTGTGCATGAGCTCCTAAGTGAATACAGTATGTCAAAGGACTTTTCACTTTCTCTATATGCTTTAGAAACGCGGCTTCCCCAGAGCAATCTCCCGGGCGGTGCGTCCACCGTCCCGCCTGACCGCTCTCCCGCTTCCCAGCGAAGCCCCGCGCCGGCCGCGCCGCCACGCCTTTGCTCGGGCCGGGCCTCTGCCGAAGGCCGGGAACGCCCATTCACCCACTGGGACAGTCGCGGCGCTTCCGAGCCTCGCACAGCTTTTTCAAGCATCAGTTCCGAATAGCCTGCCTCGGAAGTATCACGGGCGCTCCCCGGGCTCCCAAACGCCTATCTCCTCTGGCTGGAATGGGAGCCTCAAGAAGCAGGGGGAGGCCCCGGCCAGTCTCCCGGCCGGCCGCAGAGTCCCCGGCACAGAGCGCCATTTTTGCTACTGGTGGAGCTCGGCTGGGCGGCTGCTTCTGAGCACGCGAGAGAGAAGCCAAGGCGGCGTCCAGACCCACCAAGGAGGGCTGGAAGGAAAGGAAAGGGAATTTCGGGGGATGTTGAGCCCATTTGTGCAAACGGGGAGCCAAGCTCGGCTTGAGAAGGAGCTTTTGGGTCCTGAGAGCAGAGCCAGGGTGAGGGGCCTGCTGAGTGATGCGGGTCTGTGTGGTCAGTGACTGGGACATGTGGAAGCACTAACGAGGGGCCCTTTGGACTGAATGGTGTGGAGAACAGTGATAGCCGAGTCTGTAGGATCAGGGATAACTGTATGTGAGATAGGCGATGGGGAGTTTATGCGGATGAGTGATGGGGAGTCTGTGCCCTGAGCGATGGTGTCTGTAGGATGAATGATGGGGTTACAAGCGGGTGAGCGAAGGGCATCTGTGGGGTGAATCAAGGGAGTCTGGGGTGAGAGATGGAAAGTCTGTTGGGTGAGTCTTGGGAGATCTGTGGGGTGAGCAATGAGAGTCCTTTAGGGGGAGTGATGCGGGTCCGTGGGAACGGGAATGGAACTGTGTAGAGTCAGTGCTGGGATTCTCTGGGGTTCATGATGGGTGGCTCTTTGAGATCATAATACATCCATGAATAAACAAAAATCCCTGTTCTTGTGGTGTCAACAGTCCAATGGAGGAGTGAGGCAGTGAGGTTTTAATTTGTATTCCCTGATGACGACCTTTCATGTATGTATTGACCACTTGGAGATCCTCTTGTGTGAGATGCCTGTTCAGATCTTTTGCTCATTTTTCTATTGGGTTGTCTGCCTTTTCCTTATTGAATTGTAGGAATTGTTTGTATATGTTCTAATACCACTCCTTTATCAGTGATATGTGTTTTGCAAATAGCTCCTTAATTCTTGGCTTCTCTTCCTTATCATGGTTTTGAATATTAAGATTTCAAGTTAATTTTAAACTGTAAAGCACAATGTAAATTTAATATTTTGTTATTCTTGAGTTAGAAGACAATGTCCTGTGTAATTTAGGAAGAGAGTTAATTTTTTAGGGCATCCAGAAGTGGACGGAGAGTTGTATCCTTGGCAACCTTCATGCCATGGCTGCTAGGGAGGAGTTCTCTGCTTTTTTTCCTACCACCTCACCCTCTCCTCCCTGGCTGTGTGATCTTGGAGGAGTCACTTAATTTTGTGGACCTCAGTTTCCTCACTGTGAAATCAGGACAATAGCAGGGCCTATCCTGTGAGCCTTGGGATGATAGCTAAGGGAGTCAATACCTGATTGTTATCTATTCACCACGGTTTTGTAGCACTGATCTTGTATGTATTTCATGGATCTAAGGTGAACTCAAGGTCAGTGCTACTTGTATGATACCCAAGAAACTCCAATGAAAGAAATTAAATCCCCAAGAATAAGAGTTTGTCAGGTAGAGTTGAGCTTTGGAGGGCCACAGACTAGTGTAATATGTTGGCGCGCAGATGTTTATTGGTTATTAAACAGTTGGGAGCGTGATCCTGTGGTCTGCCTCTTCTTCATTTCGTGGCTCTCTCTCCATGCCATTAACTTTATTTCCATAGTACTACTTAGTCTATTTCTATGGAAATTTTCAAACATTCGCAAAAATAGAGGGAACTGTGTAATGAACCCCCATTATGCACATCACCCAGGCTCTTTAATCATCAACTCATGGTCAGTCTGGTTTCCTCTAGGCCAGGGGGTGGGAAACTGCAGGCAGTGGGCCAATCTGGCCTGCTGCTGTTTTTATACAGCCGTGAGCTAAGAATGGTTTTCACATTTTTTAATAGTTGGAAAAGAATCAAAAGAAGAATATTTTGTGATATGTGAAAATGATATAAAATTCAAATTATAGTGCCCACGAATGAGGTTTTATTAGAACATAGCCGATGAACATGGTTGGTTTGTATACTGTCTGTGACTGCTTTCGGCCTGCAACGGCAAAGCTGGGTAGCTGCGGCAGAGACCACAGGCTGCACAAAGTTAAAATTTTGCTGTCTGGCCCTTTAAGAAAGAGGTTACCAACCCTAATCTAAACCATCCATTTATTTCTTCCTTCCAGATTCTTTTTTCTTCTTTCTTTATTGAGGTATAACATAAAATGCACAAATATTGAGTATAAAGCTCATTGAATTTTTACATATGTAGTCCTTATTTTGAAACAAATTCCAGACATATCATTTTATTCGTAAATGCTCTATTATATAAGGTATCTGTAAAAGAGAAAGACTTAAAGGCCAATACTGTTATTCAAGGTAAAATAATTAACAATGATATCTTCAGATCACCAGTGGTTAAATTCCTTAATATCATCAAATATCTAGTCAGGGCTCAAACTTTAATGATTATCTCAAAGATTTTTTTGTCTGTTCAAATGAAGATCCAGACAAGGCCCATACTGTACGTGTGGTTGCTGTGTTTTTTCAGCCTCTTCATCATGTACAGTGTTATTTCCCATGGTCGCCTGCCCTTCCATCCTTTGGAGGTTCCATAACTAATTTTCTCAGTCCTCAGTGATTGGGCATTTAGGTTATTTTCAGTATTATGGTGTTAAAGACAAAGCTGTGATGAAGCTTCCTGCAGTTAAATCTCCGCACGCATCCATGATTATTACCTTAGGATAAAATTCTAGAAATGGAGTTAGTGGTCAGATGAGAAATACAAGTTATCAGTGAAATAACAAGCAGCACATTTCCAGCCACATATCCAGCCACTGAAGAGTGGTTAACCCAGCCTGGTCTCTGAAGACTCCTCTGTACCCCACCCCACCCCCAATTGCTTTCCAAAGAGAAACAGAAAATGATTGAGCCCCAAGTAAGTTGTTTGCTTTCCATTTGGTTTTCCCAAAACCAAATGGGAAAGGGCAACTAGCTGAAAATGAGTTAGAAAAATTTAGAGAGAACAGAAGATCAAGATGCAGATAATGTTGCTGTGAAGATACACATATCATCTGGCCTTACTTCATATCAACTGGGCTACACATTTTATCTGCGAGCTTCCTGGGAGCTACAGTGAAAAGGGCAAAGATGATCAGTGAGATGATTTGCATTCTCCATCCAGAGAAATCAGTTCATCAGTCCAGCTCCTCAGCAAGTCAAGATTTCTGGGCCTTTAGCTTAAGACATTTTTTGTTGAGTTTTCCTAAAGGCCAGTCGTTTTTAGCTCAGTGTGATATTATCAAAGTTGTTCCAAAGAGGCAGCTTTTAGTTCAAATTTTCTCACAGAGACTTGGAGCGTGGGTGGTTTCCGGGTTTCCTATGGCTCCTTTGCTGTCATCCCAGAGTTTGTGGGGTCATGGGCCAACTCAAGGCCATCTCCTCTGCTCTTCCATTTCTAGTCTTTATTTTTTTTCTCCTTGCAAGGATACATGGGACAAAGAATGTAAACAATATAGCCAAGTAAAAATTAGAAAATGAAATATCATCTCTGTAATCTAACTTCTGCCTTCTTCCTTGGCATAAATAGTATTATGTAGTTTGGGGATGATCCTTCCAGACTATACATATAACCCCATCTATGCACGTAGGTGTATATTGATCTTATTATTTTCATGCATTTTTCTTTACCATACACAAAAGTATAGACACTATATCTTCTGTTCTGCAACCTTCTTTTTTACCTGTCAATAAAATGTATCCAATAAATTTACTTTTTTTCCTAAAGATTGGCACCGAGCTAACATCTGTTGCCGGTCTTCTTTTTTTTCCCTTCTTCTCCCCAAAGCCCCCCAGTACATAGTTGTATATTCTAGTTGTTGGTCCTTCTAGTTGTGGCATGTGGGACGCTGCCTCAGCATGGCTTGATGAGCAGTGCTATGTCTGCACCCAGGATCCGAACTGGCAAAACCCTGGGCTGCTAAAGTGGAGTGCGCGAACTTAACCACTCGGCCATGGGGCTGGACCCAAATGTCCTTTTTACACCTTTTATTATGGAAATTTCCATTTTGAGCACACCCAAAGATAGATTTTAGTGAATCCTTTTATACTTATCAGCCAGCTGCAAATATTATCAACTGGTGGCCAATCTTGTTTTAGCTATCATTTATCCTCACCCACTCCTGTCATCATCATCATCTGACCAGTGCTTTACTGATTATTTGTTTAGGGTTTTTCCTACTATGTTCATGAGACATAATTGACCTGTAATTTTCCTTTCTTGTATTATTCTTATCATGTTTCGGCATCACAGTTATGTTGGCCTCCCATAGCAATTTGGGAAGAATTATCTGGAAGAGTTTGGGTAAGATTGGTGTTATTCCCTGCTTAAATGTTTGGAAGAATTCCCCAGTGAAGTCACTAGGGTGTGGACTGTCCTTTGTGGATAGATTTTTAATTATGAACTTGATTTATTTAAAAGATATAGTACCATTCATATTTTCTGTTTCTTTTTATGTCGGGTTTGGTAACTTGTGATTTTCAAGGAATTTGTCCAGTTTGTCAAAGTTGGAGGCCAGCAAACTTTGTAGAGGGCCAGATAGAAATATTTGAAGCTTTGTAGGCCTTATGGTCTCTGTTGCAACTACTCAAATCTGCTATTGTAGGTTTAAAGCAGCTGTAGATAATATATAAACCAAAGAGCATTGCCGTGTTCCAATAAAACTTTATTTATGAACACTGAATTTCATATAATTTTCATGTCTTAGAAAATGTTCTTATTTTGACTTTTTGTTCAACCATTAAACGTGTAAAAACCATTCTTAGCTTGTGGGCAAGATTTGGCCTACGGACCATACTTTGCAGTGCCCTGATCTGCATTGTCAAATTTCTTGTCATAAAATTGTTCATAGTATCCTTTTATTATCCTTTTAATGTTTGTAGGATACCAGCCCCTTGTTGATGAGCCTTTTTATTGTTTCTAGTTTTTTCTCTGATATATAATAGCAATAATAATAAGAAAAATTACAGCTACTGTTTATTGAATGCTTACGGTGTGCCAGGCACCATTATAATAAATTATAGTGGAATTAACTCATTTAATTTACCCAGGAACACTGTGCTAGGTACTATTATTGTCCCCACTTTTCAGATGAGGAAACCGAGGCACAGCTGGTACATTGTCTAGCCGGGACTCTAAAGCAGTGAAGTCACAAATAAGGGAACAACCTTATAAATACATCTTTGTATATTTGTCAAGTATTTATGTTGGCCAAATTCTTAGACATTCATGTGCTAGGTCAGAAAGCAAGCGTGTTTAAAATTTAAAGGATATTTCTCAAATTGTCTTTTGATATTGTGTAATCAGCTTCCACATGCGACTACAAATCATTTACAAGGAGGCCCATTTCCCATTATTTTTCTCACTACCAAATAGCATCAGTATTTTTCATTCTTGCTATTTTTATGGGTGAGCATTATATCTTATTTTCATTTGCTTTTCTTTAATGATTAAATGAGCACCAGCATCTTTTCATGTATTTATTTGCCATTTTGTATTTCTCTGTAAATCCCTCTTTCCTTCTTTGTCTTTTGCTTATTGCTTTCTAGGAGCTTTCCGTATATGAGTGATACGAATTTTGAAGTACATATTGCAAACTCTTTTTTGGGGGGGCTGGGTGGCGATTTGTCTTTCCACCTTGTTGTCCGTCTCCCCTCACTAGAATATAGGATCCTTGAGGGAAGGTGTTTTTGCCAAGTTTCTTTCCTGCTGCATCCCCAGTCCCTAGGACAGTGCGTGGTATTCAGCAGATGCTCAAAAACTGCTTGCTGAGTGGATGAATGCCTTTTTGCACTTAACGGTATATCTGAGAGATTGTTGCACATCGATCCATGTAGAGCTTCCTTGTTGCTTTTTATGGTTGCATATGATATTCCCTTATGGGAACTGAAGCATCCTTGGTTCCTGCAATCCCCCATGAGGTTATTTTCATTCTTTTGCTATTATAAACAGTACTGTAGTGCGGTATCTTCACGTGTTGTTTTACTCACATATATGAGTGTTTATGTAGAATAATTTCTAGAAATGGAATTGCTAGTTAGAGGATATGTACATTTAACATTTTGAGGGATATTGCCAAATTAATTGCCCTCAAAATAGAAAGTACCAGTGTAAATTTGAGTGTGCTCCTTTCTTGACATCTTCACCAACTCACAGTGAGTTATCAAGCTCTAATCTTTGATAATATCTAAGGGAAACAAGATGTCTTGTTTTAACTTGCATTTCTCTTCATCTGAGTGATGTTGAGCATTGTTTTATTTTTTTGACTTTAAAATTTTTAAAACATTTTATTGAGGTCATATTGGTTTATAACAGTGTGTAATTTCAGGAGTACATTATTATAGGTCAGTTTCTGTGTAGATTGCATCATTGAGCATTGTTTTACATGTTTAGAAGCTATTTGCATTTTCTTTTCTGTGAATTGATAGTCATATCCTTTGATTATTTTTTAAAAAGTTAAGTTGTTGGTCTTTTTCTTCTTGCTTTGTAGGAGCTCTCTCTCTATAGTGTGGAAATTAGCCGTTTGCCCATTATATGTGTGGTGCATATATCTTCTCCCCAGTTAGTTGCTTGTCCATTGAGTTTGTTTATGACACATTTGCCACGCAATACATAAAGTAGTCAAATTAATCAGTGTTTTCCTTTGTGGTGTCTGGGTTTGGTAACATGCTTAGTTAGAAGAGTCTTCTTCACTCTAAAATTATTTTAAAAAAGAAATAAAAAAACCTCTTCTGTCTTTATTTTATGGCTTCTCTTTTTCTTTGTTTAAATTTTTGTTATATATCAAATTTATTTTTGTGTATAGTGTGAAATAGTGAATCCAATTTACATTTTTTGATACCCAGGTTTTTTTTTTTAATGAGGAAGATCTAGCCCTGAGCTAACATCTGCTGCCAATGTTCCTCTTTTTGCTGAGGAAGACTGGCCCTGAGCTAACATCCATGCCCATCTTCCTCTACTTTATATGTGGGACGCCTGCCACAGCATGGCATGCCAAGCGGTGCCATGTCTGCACCTGGGATCCGAACCGGTGAACCCCAGGCCACCAAAGTGGAACATGCAAACTTAGCACCACTTGGATGGCCCTGCTACCCAGTTTTGAATAATCCATCTTTTCTGCACTTATTTAAAACGCCACCTTTATTATACATTAAATTTCCCATTTTTATTTTCATCTATTTTTAGACTGTCTATTCTTTTCCACTAACTATTCTTGCTAGTGGTGGGATTTTACATTATTTTTCTCATTAAGTATCCTAAACAAAGTGAAAAGTACGCATCCTACAGGTATTGCTGTGTTACAAATGATCAGAATGAGCGGACTGTACAGGAATGTGCTATTATAGGAACCAGTGACATTTGAGGATGTGACTGTGGACTTCACCCAGGAAGAGTGGCAGCAGCTGTATCCTGCTCAGAGGACCCTGCACAGGGAGGTGATGCTGGAGGTTTATAGCCACTTGGTCTCTGTGGGTAAGGGCAAATTCTCTGTGTAACAATGGATTAAATCTTCCTCATCCTTCAGAGCTGTCAAGACCGTGATCTTTATGATTTTCCATTGACAGAGTGTTTTCTTTTATAGTTTTGGTTTTTTACATTTATATTTTTGTTATATCTGGAATTTATTTTTGTGAGTTAAGGATCCATCTTTGCTGGGAGGCCCCTGAAACTTCTTCTTCTCTTCATGAATTTCTGAGCTGCCAAGGCTAAGGCCATTATACTGTTCCCTTAACAGGGTATTCGGGTATAAAACCAGATGTAATCTTCAAGTTGCAACATGGAGAGGACTCGTGGATCATAGAGAGTGAGTTGTCAAGGTCCAACTCAGGTAAGTGAGACTTGGGTAGATGGCTGAGAAGGCGTTTTCTTCTTCCCTGACATCAACAGCCTCCTTTTCCTTAAAATTCGTCAGGCCCCCTTTATAACATCCATCCTACATCAGCCAGCTTCCTGACACTTCTGTCCACTGCTGTTTTCTTTTTGGTGTCTATTTGATTTTACCTTTTTCTTCGTCTTTCAGACAGGGACAAAAGCCTTGACTCTTCCCAGCAGACCATTTCTGGAGAACTTTCATTTCAAAAGGAGATATCGGAAAGAGCCCCAAAGGATACTTCATTGTGCTCTGTCTTAAAAGTCTGGCATATTGATGGTCAAATAGATAGATATCAAGGAAGACAAGACAGAGTTTTGAGGCAGATCACAGTCATCAGTCATGAAACATTGACAAAAAAGAGAAGCCCCAAATATAATACATTTGGAAAAATATTCAGTGGATGCATAGACTTTGATCATTCAAGTAAAAAACTCCATAATTTTGATTCATGTGAAAAGAACTTGAAATCTAATTTAGACTCACTGGCTTGTAATAGGAGCTATGCAAGAAAGAGCCCCATTGACAGATCAGGATATGGGAGGCCACCTAGCTATAGTGCTTTTTGTTCTGTGCCTGAGAAAATTCACTCTGGAATGAAACTCTGTGAACATAGCCAATGTGAGAAAGTTCTCAATCATAAGCAAACCCATATTCAGTATGAGAAGCTTCAAGCTGGGGAGAAACCCAATTTTTGTAGTGTGTGTGGGAAGGGCTTTCATAAGAAGTCACAGCTTATTATACATCAGAGAATTCATACTGGAGAGAAACCGTATGTATGTGGAGATTGTGGAAAAGCCTTCAGTGAGAAATCACACCTCATCGTGCATCAGAGGATTCATACTGGGGAGAAACCTTATGAATGTGCTGAGTGTGGGAGGGCCTTCTCCCAGAAGTCACCCTTCATTGTTCATCAGAGAGTCCATACTGGAGAGAAACCCTATGAATGTTTTGAGTGCCAAAAAACCTTCTCCCAGAAGTCACATCTTACTATACATCAGAGAGTTCATATCAGGAAGAAGCCTTTTGAATGCAGTGAATGTGGGAAAGCCTTCTGTGAGAAGTCTCACCTTTCTATACACCAAATAACTCATACTGGGGAGAAGCCTTATGAATGTACTGAATGTGGGAAGACTTTCCCTCGGAAAACACAGCTCATCATCCATCAGAGAACGCATACTGGAGAGAAACCCTATAAGTGTAATGAATGTGGGAAAACCTTTTGCCAGCAGTCCCACCTCGTAGGACATCAAAGAATTCATACAGGAGAGAAACCTTATGTATGTACTGACTGTGGGAAGGCCTTTTCCCAGAAGTCACACCTCACTGGACATCAAAGGCTTCATACTGGAGAGAAACCTTATATATGTACAGAATGTGGAAAAGCCTTCTCTCAGAAATCACCTCTTATTATACACCAGAGAATTCATACAGGGGAGAAACCCTATGAGTGTAGTGAATGTGGCAAAACCTTCTCCCAGAAATCACCCCTTATTATTCATCAGAGAATTCATACAGGGGAGAAACCCTATGCATGTACTGAGTGTGGGAGGGCCTTTTCCCTGAGGTCACATCTCATTATACATCAGAGAGCTCATACTGGAGAGAAACCATATGAATACAGCAAATGTGGAAAGGCCTTCTGTGAGAAGTCTCCACTAGTTGTCCATCAGAGAAGCCTTACTAGGGAGAAATCCCCTGAATGTGCTGAGTATGGGATGAACTTTTCCCGGAAATCACAGATGATCACATATCAGAGGACATACACAGAGGAGAAACCCTCCAAATGTAGTGACTGTGGGAAGGTCTTCTGCCAGCATATATACCTCACAGGACATCAGAATCCACATAGGACAGAAACCTTACATATGTACTGATTGTGAGAACATCTTTTCCCAGAAGTAAGACCTCATTGTGTGTGAGAACTCACAATGAATAGAAATCCTATGGATATGTTGGACATGAAAAAATGTGGCAACTCCTCAACTGTAGAGTAGACTCATATGTTCCTAATTATGTCTGATAACCTCTCCACAGAATAATCTGGCCAGGCCCACAGAGGCTTTTCAACACTGTAAATATGGAGTGGATTTGCTCACCCTCAGAGTATCTCAGCCCACTTCGCAGACTAAATGCATCTGGAACAATGAGCACCACTTTGGTGTTGTTTGGTTTTTAAAGGTTTTGTAGAATTTTCCTTTGAATTTATTTGGGCATGGTGGATTATTTGAAGATATGATACCTCTTTGTCATCTTTCTTTATTTCTTCCATCATGTTTTCTCTGTTTAGATTCTATATGTATTTATATTGATATATCCATAAATATGTAGATATAGATATCTGCAGTCCTTGTAATTTTTGTAAAAATCATCCATTTCCTCATGAGTCTTAATATATTTGTAAAAAATTGAGCAAAGTAGTTTCTGATGATTCATTTAATTTTCTCCAGTATCATTTCTCACAGAGTGTATTTGTGATTTCTTTTTTCTCAGTTAGGTAAACTAATGGTGATGTTTTATTTGTTTTATGTCCCCCACCCACTTGAAGACCAGTTCTTGCATTTATATCATTTTTCTGTTTTCTGATTCATTCATTTGTGCTTTTATTTCATTAAAGTCCTTCTATCTGCTTTTCTGTTTTTTCTTTTTCTAACTTCTTTAGTTGAATGTGCAAGTCAATTAATCTCACCCTTTCTGGTTTATTTATAGTTGTATTTTGAGCTATATATTAGTCTGAGAACTACTTTAGCCATTTGTGGTCCAATCTGAGAGTATTCTGTTTTTCAGTAGGTAAATTCTATTGTTTAGCCCAATTTTGTTTGTAGGCATGACAGATCTATTTAGTTTTAGGTCTCCCAGCATATTTCCTGTTGTGCATCCTGTTTGCATTGCTTTTATGTCTTTTAATTTTTCATCATGTGGTCCTGATTTCCTTTGTACTGTTTTGGATATGTTACTTGTGTTCCAGAGCATAGCAAACGAAGGGACACTTCCAAAGAGTTTTCAGGAAGCTAGCATAATCCTGATATCCATAATCTTGATAATCCATAATACCTGGGAGATGGGATTTGAGGCTACAAAGAAGCATGATGGCGGGCCTATGGCTATAAATGTTCAGAGGACTTTTTTACCTTTCTACTTAATGCCAAGATTTAAGATAGATAATTTCCCATAGTCCCTTGGGCCGAGGTGGTTTTATATTTAGCTCATTCTTTCACTGAGAGTGAAGCTTCTTTGTTCCCAGATTTGTGTCAGCAGTCTTTGCTCACCTTGAGCAGGACATGTTCTTGAAAACTGCAGCATGAGTAACTTTGGTTTGCTGGATGCACTGGAAGTGAAGGGCAGGCAATAGTGGAGTGTCTGTGTTTGCTGAGGTTGTTGTGGCCAAGCTTTTGGAGTCTGGTCTCCTGTGGAGTCAGTGACTTACAGCAAGCCATAGCAAGAATGGGAAATTTCCTAAAAATGTCCCAGAGTATAGGTGAATGTTGTTTCTTCATGTTCGGCAAATCTTTATTGAGCATGTGCTGCATGGCAGGCACTATTCTGAAGATTCTGCATTTAACAAAGCAGACAAAAATGTCCCTGCCTTCATGGAGAGATGGATGACAAAAAGGTTATATATATTATATTAAGATATATATATATATATAATAAATCATTATATATTATATAAATATATAAAAATTTTAATATAATATAAGTAAAGAGCAAGAAAATCCAAAATGACCAAGCAGATTTTAAAAAGACTCTAATAGAACTTCTAGAGGGGCCAGCCCCGTGGCCAAGTGGTTAAGTTCGTGCACTCTGCTTTAGTGGCCAGGGGTTTCACCGGTTCAGATCCTGGGTGCGGACATGGCACCATTCATCAAGCCATGCTGAGGCAGCATCTCACATAGCACAACCAGAGGCACTCACAACTAGAATATACAACTATGTACTAGGGGGCTTTGGTGAGCAGAAAAAGAAAACAAAAATAAATAAATAAAGATTGGCAACAGATTTTAGCTCAGGTGCCAATCTTTAAAAAAAAAAGAACTAGAAATTAAAAATATAGTAATTGGAAGTAAATACTTAAGAGGTGAGTTTAACAGCAGATGAGAGTTGGCTGAAGATAGAATTCATGAATTAGAAGATTGCTCTGAAGAGATAACTGAGAATGCAAGACCAAGAGCCAAGGCCATGGAAATTCTAAAGAAGTTAAGAGGTAGAGTGATAGAATAAGCAGGTCTAGCATATGTCTTAATCAGAATCTTAGTAGAAGATAAGAGATAAAATGGGGCAGTGGCAATATTAAAAAAGATAATAGCTAAAAGTTTTCCAAAATTGATAAGACACCAATCCACAGTGACAATTAGACTCTCAAGTGACTTCCCAACAATCAGCAATGAAAGCCAGAAGACAGTGGATTTATGTCTTCAATATGCTGAGAGAAAAGAACTGTCAACATGGAATTACATACCCAGCAAAAATATCTTTCAAGAGCAAGGTGAAAATAAAGACATTTTCAGATATATCAACATTTAGGAAGCTTGCTGCCAGCATATCCTCACTAAGGGGAATTCTAAAAGATGTATTTCAAACAGAAAGAAACTGATCCTAAATGAACAGTCTGAGATGCAAGAACGATGAGAAAAGAAAGTGATAAATATGTGGGTAAATCTAAATGAACACTAAGGACAAAAAGCCAGTAATGATAAATCATGGGGATAAGAGCAAGATAGGAATGAAAGGGGGAGTTGACACTTAATAAGGAATATATTGGCTAAGTTTAGGCTTTAGTAAGTTAAAGTGAATGCCAAAATTTCTAGAGTAACCACTAAAATAATTTTTTTTTCTTTAAAGATTGGCACCTGGGCTAACAACTGTTGCCAATCTTCCCCCGCCCCCTTTTTTTTAAGGATTGGCACCTGGGCTAACAACTGTTGCAAATCTTTTTTCTTTCCCCTGCTTTATCTCCCCAAACCACCCCCCCCACCCCGTACACAGTTGTATATCTTAGTTGCATGTCCTTCTAGTTGTGGGATGTGGGACGCCATCTCAACATGGCCTGACGAGCGGTGCCATGTCCGCGCCCAGGATCTGAACCCCGGGCCGCTGCAGCGGAGCGTGCGAGCTTAACCACTCGGCCACGGAGCCAGCCCCTAAAATAATTTTAAAAGTGTACAACTTCCAAATTAATACAGTTAAGAAATAGGTGGTATATTAGTTTTCTATTCTTGCTGTAACAAGTTGACAAACTTTGTGGCTTAATACAACTCAAGTTTACCTTACAGTAGATCAGAAGTCTAGCACAAGTTTCACTGGGCTAAATAAAAGTGTTGACAGGGCTACATTTCTTGAGGCTTTCAGGGAGAATCCATTTCCTTGCCTTTTCCAGCTTCTAGGGGCCATCTGAATTCTTTGGCTCGTGGTCTCCTTCCTCCATCTTCAAAGCCAGCGATGTTGCATCTCTCTTACCCTTCTTATGTTGTCATATGCTCTCTGACTATAGCTGGGAGAGTTTTTCCCCCTTTAAGGACTCATGTAATAGATTAGGCCTGCTTTGCTAATCCAGGATAATCTCCCCATCTCAAGGTCTGTAACCTTAACCATATCTGCAAAGATCCCTTTTCCATGTAAGGTAACATATTCACAGGTTCTGAGGATTAGGGCATGAAAATCTTTGGTGGCCATTACTCTGCCTGTCACAGGTAGATTATAAAAAGCCAATCAACCCAAAAGACGACAAGAAGGGAGACAAAAGTAAATATGGAAAAATGTTACAAATGAAAGGCACAAAATAAGACTGTAGAAATAAATAAAAATATATCACCAATCATATAAATATGAATGACTGTACCCATCAGTTATATGACAAAATTGTCAGACTATATAACATAAAATCCAGCTACATGCTGTTTCAAAAGACATGCTTAAAGTGTAAAGACATTGCCAAGTATTTTCAGAACAGCATTAAACAATAGTGCTTTTTCTCCCTTGGCTCCTCATATTGTTCAGAGTCAGCATATATTGTTTCCCCACAAAACATTATGTAGGTTTTTAGTTGAGAGATAACATATCTTGTTAAAGAAGTATCCATTTGCTGCTATTTTATTGGAGTTCTTTTTTTGAATCAAGAATGTATGTTGAATTTTATCAAATTACCTTCTCAGCATCTGTGGAGATGATCATATGACTGTTCATTTTGATCCATTAATATGATGAATTATATTAATAAACGTCCTTATATTGAACCATTCTTGCATTAGTGAAGCAAACTCTGTGTGTTTATGGTGTGAACCAGAGTGCAGCAGATGACACTTGGCTGATATTTTAATTAGTACTTTTGCATTGATATTCACAAATAAAATTGATTTGTACTTTGCTTTTTTGTCCATATTGTTCAGATTTGTGTGTTAGAATTATGCTAGCTCCCTGAAAAACCCTTTGGAGGTGTCCCTCCCTTTGTTATGCCCTGGAAGAGAAGAAACATGCCCACAATCATATAAAGGAAACCAGGACCACATGACAAAAGATTAAAAGACATAAAAACATGAAAATAGGGTGCACAACAGAAAATATGCTGGGACATCTAAGATCAAATAGATGTGTCATATGTACCAACAAAATCAGGGTAAACTTGTCTAGTGAAAGATCATGTTTGCTCAGTTTGAACTACAAAGAAAATCCCAATACATAAGAGACAATTTAAAAAGATTAGAAATGGAAATACAAGTATAAAATCATACCTGACAATTGCAAACAAAAGGAGGTGGAAAGAGGATTTTAACATCTGAAAATGTTGAGTTTAGGGCAATAAGCAACACACGAGAAAATAGGCAGTTTTCAATTATAAAGTATGAAATTCAGAATGAAGATCTAAGTATCAGTAAATGTATGTGCCCCAAATAACATAGCATCAACGTTTATAAGAAAACAAAACAAAAAATACAAGAAATAAGAGAAATACTCAAAACATGTTAAAAATAGGAGACTTCATCTATTGATCTATAACAGATTGACTGCAGAAACAAAAACAGAGAAGAATTAAATAATATAAGTAATAAGGTATGTCTAACATGTATAAGACTAGATAGATCTATAAATATAATACAACCAAATTTACCTATTAAAAACCAGAATACCATCAGATTGGATCACAAATAGTTAAAGTAGTACTTAAATGAAATTCAATAGCCCAAAATGTTTCTATTAATAAACAAGAAACCCTGTTAAAAGAAAATCATAAAGGTCTTTGCCTTGACAGTTCAAAAATTCATGAAGAGAAGGAACAGTCTCAGGGACCCCACAAGGAAGCTGCCCACTAGCCTCTCATCAGAAATGGATCCCTAACTCACACCATACACAAAGGTAAATTCCAGATGTAACAAAAAGGTAAACATTAAAAAAAACCCATAAAATTAATAAAAGAAGAAACACTCTTTCATGGGAAAAACATAAAGATCTTGGCATTGACAGCTCTGAAGGACAGAGAAAAGGATAAGGTCTATTAAATTACAGAGGGTGACCATCCTTACCCACAGAGACCAGGTGGTTGTAAATCTACAATTCACTTCCTCATTCAGGGCCCTCTGAGCAAGGCCCAGTTTCTGCCACTCATTTTGGGAGAAGTTCACAGTCCTGTTCTTGAATGTCACTGATCCCTGTACAGCACATACCTGTTCAGACTGAATTGGTCATTCTCATCATTATTGCCATATTAAAGTGTGTAGAATGTGTACTATGCACATGGATTTTGGTTGTACTTTATAAGAGAAACAGTGTAAAATCCTGCCATCATCAGACTAGTAATTGAAACAGAATGGAGTCCAGAAAGAGACCCAAATACAAATGGGAATTTAATAATATGATATAACGGCATTCCACATACATGGAGGAAAGGTAGATTATTTAAAACCGAGTAGCCATGAGAAAAAATATCTAGTCAGACCCTTACCTCACACCTTACATAACAATAATTCCACATGTGACAAAAATTTAAATATAAAATATCGAAACCATAAAACACAGAGAAAAACAATAATAAATACAGGAGAATCAAGAGAATTTTTGTTTATAAATTCTTAGTGGAGAAGTCCTTTTAAAACATTACATAGTGGCCAGCCTGGTGGCATAATGGTTAAGTTCGTGTGCTCTGCTTCTGTGGCCTGGGGTTCACAGGTTTGGATCCTGGCACAGACCTATATGTATATCACTCATCAAGCCATGCTGTGGTGGCGCTCCACATGCAAAACAGAGGAAGATTGGCATGGATGTTAGCTCAGGGTCAATCTTTCTCACCAAAAAAACAAAACAAAAACAAAAACATAAAACCTACATAACATGAAGGACAAGATTTGTGAGTTTTTCTCTATTAACAGTTTTTTAAAATTATGCCAAAATCTACCATAAAGAAAATAGCAGGACAGAACATAGAGTAGACCTTTTGTCAAGGACAATACAGAATACAATAAGCAACACGTTCACTTTATGCAAAGATACACACAGATAGGTGGATTTATATGTGTATTAAACAAAATCTGGTCAGATTTTCTTCAGATAATTGTGGTTATGTTGGGTTGGGGGTCAGGGAATGTATTATGGAGGATTTTCCTTTTCC